TCAGTTGAGCAGTCAAAAGTTGATTGTTTTGTATGGCCCATGAATGCTGTTATAAATTTTGGCAGAAAAAGGTTCCCCACCCCTGCTGTACAGGGACACTGAGTCAGAACCAACTTGACGACACTAAACAGCAGCAACAAATTAATATGAAACGTCTAAGAATAGCCAGAAGCATAGAGACCAAGTTCATTCGTCTTTCCCAGGAGCTATGGGAGGAGCAAGGAGCAACTTGGAACAGGGTTTCTGTTAGTGTCCTGGAACTGGATCATGAGTTTGTGTGAACTAATGCCACTGACTTGTGTGCCCGCAGTGCTTATATATGTTGTATATGTTGTTATTGTTGTCAAGTACCATCCATCAAGCGGTTCTGACTCATGTTGACCCTGTGCACAACAGAACTAAACATTGCCTGGTCCTGCGCCATTCTCACAGTGGTGACAAATATTTGAGTCCCTTGCTGCTGCCACTGTATCAGTCCATCTCCTTGGGGGGGGGTGTCTTCCTCTTTTTTGCTGATCCTCCACTTTACTAAGCATGATGTCCTTCTCCATTAACTGGTCCCTCCTGACAACATGCCCAGAGCATGAAAGATGGGCTCAGCACCCTCACTTCAAAGGAGCATTCTGGCTGTACTTCTTTCAAGACAGATTTGTTTGTTCTTCTGGCAATCCCCGGGACCTTCAGTATTCTCCAACACTATCAGTTCTATGGACTTCTTTATTCATTGTCCGACTTTCATGTACATATGAAGCTTTTGAAAATACCACGATTTGGGTCAGGCATACCTTAGACCTCAAACACTCAAACACCTTATGTTGTTAAGTGCTGTGGAGTTGATTCCGACTCATAGCGACCCTGCACAGGGTTTCCGAGGCTGTAAATCTTTACGGGAGCAGAACGCCTCATCTTTCTCCTGCAGAACCACTGGTAGTTTCGAACTGCTGACCTTGCGGTTCACAGCCCGATTCGTTACCACTACGCTTCCAGGTCTTTTATAACATATTTACCTGATTTAATGTCATTTGATTTCTTGACTGCTGTTTTCCTTAAGTGTTAATTGTGGGCCCAAGCAAAATGAAATCTCTGATAATTCCAGGCTTTTCTCCATTTATCATGTTATTTACTGGCCCAGTTGTGAGGATTTTTGTTTCTTTACATGGAGGTGCAATCCAGACTGAAAACTGTAGTCTTTGATCTTCATTACTAAATGTTTCAAGTCTCCAGCAAGCAAGGTTATATCATCTGCATGTAGCAGGTTGTTTAAGAGTCTTCCTTCAGTCCTGATTCCACACACTTCTTCATATAATCCAGCATCTTGAATTATTTTCTCAGCCTACAGACTGAATAAGTATGATGAAAGAATACAGCCCTGGTGCACATCTTTGCTGATTTTAAACCATTCAGTATCCACTTTTTCTGTTTTAACAACTGCCGCATGGTCTGTGTACAGGTTGCTCATGAGCACAGTGTTGTCCATGGCTTATCATGGTCGTCACAGGAGAAATCTTGTGCATAGTCTATAAAGCACAGGAAACAACCTTCTTACATTCTGCTTTCAGCCCAAATCCATCTGACATCAGCAATAATATCCCTAGTTTCACATCCTCTTCTGAATCCAGCCTGAATTTCTGGCAGTTCCTGGTGATGTACTGTTGCAGCCATTTTTAAATTATCTTCAGCAAAATTTTACTTTACACAGCAAAATCATTAACGTGATATTAATGATAGTGTTCAATGATTTTGGCATTCCGTTGGGTCACCTCTCTTTGGAATGGGCACAAATATGGATCTCTTTCAATCCGTTGGCCAGGTAGCTGTCTTAAAAATTTCTTGCAATAGATGAGTGGGTGCTTGAGCAGTTTGTTGAAAGATTCCAATTTGTATTCCGTCACTTCCTGGGACCTTGTTTTTCTCCAATGCCTTCTATGCAGCTTGTACTTCTTCCTTCATTACCATCAGTTCTGAGGTTTGAATTTTTTCTTCAGCTCTTTCAGCTTGAGAAATGCTAAAAGTTAGGCAATCCCTTTTGGTTTCCTAACTTTGAGCATTTCATAAATAATGCTTGATTTTATCTTCTTGAGCTGCCCTTTGAAACTTTCTGTTCAAGTCTTACTTCCTCATCTCTTCCATTCTCCTTATTCTATGTAGTATGTTATGTCGTAGTTGGAGGCTGGCTTAGTTCTCTAGAGCTGCTGCTATAACAGAAATACCACAATTGGATGGCTTTGTTGTTGTTGTCAGGTGCCATCAAGTCGGAACCGACTCATAG